CAGTATGTATGAATGTGAGTTAGGGACCTTAGATTGTACGCCCCTTGAGGGTTAGGGACTGATGTGAATGTACAATATATATGTGAAGTGCTGCGTAAATTGATGGCGCTATATAAGTACCTGAAATAAATAAATGTTATGCTAGGACTCACTTAACCTCTTGCCGTCCGCCTGCTGTTTATAAACGGCAGGGCGGTGGCAGTCCAGGGGCGGGTTGCTGTTCCTAAACGGCACCCGCCTTTTCTAGCTGTGCGTGCTCCCTGGGAGCGCGCGCGCACCACCGCGGTCCGGTGCCCGCTGTGTCCTCCGGACACAATCAAACACCGATCGTCGGACGGGACCTCTGTACGAGGTCCCGATCATGTGATCACTGATTGGCCAATCAGTGATCACATGCAAAGTAGTAAGCAAGATGTCACTTCTGACATCATTGCTTACTACGTGTGAAATCTGTGAATGATCACAGAGGTCACATGGTACAAGGCTATTCACAACAGCCTTGTACCATGTGACAAGCTGTGACCAATCACAGCTCACTCAGTACTTCTCAATGACTGCAAGAATGCAGACAGAGAGAAAGAGAAATGATTGCTTTTACATCCTATATGGGTGTAAAAGCAAACAGTGTAAAAAAAAAAAAAAAAAAAATCTTCATCACCCCCCACAAGTAGTAGTGTCACCATGGTGACACTGTACTGCTAGGGTAACAGTATGTAAAAAAAAATAAATAAAAAATTATATAAAAAAATAAAATAAAAATGTAAAAAAAAATGTTTAAAAATAATAATTTTTGGTTATAAACTAATTTGGATTTTTTTTTTACTAAAAAAATAACGGAATAAATTTTGGCCAAGATTTATGATGAAATATTATTTATTTGCAAAATTTTATTAAAAAAAAAAAACTTTCAAAATTTTTGGACTTTTTCATTTACATAGTAAAAAAAATAAAAATCCCAGCGGTGAATAAATACCACCAAAATAAAGCTTTATCTGTCTCAAAAAAATGGTAAAACATTCATATGGGTACAGTGTTGCATGACCGCACAATTGTCATTCAAAGTGTGATAGCGCTGAAAGCTGAAAATTGCCCTGGACAGGAAGGGGGTAAAGAGATTTCTTTGTACTTCCTATCCTGGAGATAGTGTATCTGTGTGTAAGGGAGTCTCCAGGTTTGAGTAAATGCTGAATTTAGCACGAAACGCGTCACCTTTTAATGTTTCGGTCATACCTGTGATGTCATTTTAATTCTTCAATAAAGATACCAAAGAGTGCAGCAATATTCCGGATTTGCACGTTACTGAATCTCACAGACGAGCTGTGCAGCACCCTGGGTTCCAGTTCACAACATGTGAGAGTCGGTCACTCACCTAGGTAGGCATTATTTTGGCTTTACTGATCCAGGCAGTCCTGCTTATTTCACATTTCAGCTGGTATGATGCGGGGGTGACTAGAGTAACAAGTAAATGTAAAGCAGTTAGGCTTTTTGCACACGGGTGTATTTATGCATACATCTGTGCTATGGGCCGCCTTTGTCTGCACATGACTGAATACAGACAGTGTGAATGAGGCATAATATCCAACACATAATGTATATGAGAGACCCTCAGCGCAACGGACCTCCTATAAAACAAGTATTGCAGCTAGCATGTACTGTGTTCCCACATGTAAACCATAAATCAAAAAAAAATGCAGCGCAGTACTATAAATTCAAATACTAATATTAAGCTGGGCTCCCTTCTTTTTTATTTTTTTTTCTCTAATTTCGTTACATTGACTTGTTCCATCTGAATGTGTTTGTAACACTTTAACCATTAGCTGCCTGGCCAATGGCCGTTTGGCGGCTTCAAAAGTGTCTCTGCACTCCGGGTGCACGCCATTTGGCGTGCTCCCTCACATGCGCAATTTGCGCTAATGCAGAGCGGCGCAGCTGTGCGATCTGTCACCGGCCGTGCACCTCAGACACGGCCGATGACAGATCCGAGTACCGGCTCCCGTTGCTGGTACCATGTGACCTGCTGTGAACAATCACAGCAGGTCACATGACAGTTGTATACAATGGATGGCTTCATTCATGATGCCATCCATTGTATACTAGTGCCTAGCTGTGAATGGTCACAGCTAATCACATGCACATGTCATGTGATTAGCTGTGACCAAATCACAGCTAAGCACAAAAAAAAAAAAAAAAAAAAGCTGAATGAATCGACTTCATTCAGGTAAATGCTTGCTTATAGCAAAGTAATTCTTTGCTATAAGCAAAGGGTGTAAAAAAAAAAAAAAAAAAAAAAAATACTGATCACTTCCCCAAAGTAGTACAATGTTACTATGGTAACATTGTACTACTTTGGTCATAGTAAAATGTGAAAAAAAATCTTTAAAAAAAAATGTAATAAAAAATTAAATAAAAAATAAAAAAATAAAAAAAAAAAAAAAAAAAAATATATATTTTTTTTTCATACTGTCACCAGTCAGTGTCCCTGTTCACCGCCATGCCAGTTATATGATGACGCTGTACTGCACTGGTGACAGTATGTAAAAAAAAAAAAATAGTGAAAATAATTTTTTTAAATTTTTTCATTTTCCGAAAAATTATGACAAAAAAATACAACTTCAAAAAATTCGCCATGCCTCTTATGAAGTACGTCGGACTGTCTACTCTGCAAAAAGGGGTCATTTGGGGATATCTGTACTATTCTGACATTCTTGGACCTCAAGAAATTAGATTGGCCGTCAGTACTTCAGGATTGATCAATAATCAGATCTATACCATAGTTTGTGAACTCTATAACTTTCCTACAAACTAAAAAATACATCCTAATTTGGGTTATTTTCACCAAAGACATGTAGCAGAATACATCTCGGCCTAAATTTATGAAGAACAATTATTTATTTGTAAACTTTTATAACAGAAACAAAGAAAAATTTGGGGTTTTTTTTTCAAAATTTTTGGTCTTTTTTTGTTAATTTAGTAAAAAATAAAAACCCCAGCGGTGATTAAATACCACCAAAAGAAAGCTCTAGCTGTGTGAAGAAAATGATAAAATTTTAGTTTGGGTACAGTGTTGTATGACCGCGCAATTGTCATTCAAAGTGTGAGAGCGCTGAAACCTGAAAAATGGCCTGGGCAGGAAGGTGTAAAATTGCACGGTATTAAAACGGTTAAAAAAAAAAAAAACTTTCTGAACAAAAAAAAAAATATCTGATTAAGAAAAGACTTCGGACAAGCAGCTGTGTCCATGCCGTTGTTGAATTCCCATAGACTGCCTGCATGCAGCACCTGGCAGCTCCAACCGCATCAACAAAATGGTCAATTCACAAAATACGGGCCTCAGCGCCTGTGTGAATGAGGCCTTAAGCTGGAGTTCAACTTTAAAACTAGATCATACTTTTCCATGACACCTCGATCCACTTCAAGCAGCACCCTGCAAAAACGGTGAATATTTTTACATTATGGCTGAGCAAGAGGTTGAAAACGGTTTCTGCGGTGAAGAATTAGCAGCCGCCGTTGACTAGGAACAAACAGGTTAAGAGAGTCTCATAAATAACCCCCGGCTAGGTGGTGTAAAGCTTTAAAGATATCAACACTCATACCTTAATCCTATAGTGAGGCAGAAACTAATTTAAATTAAATAGCAAGAATACAAGAGCATATTTTGGCACATGATAAATCAGGCTGTTTAAAAATGCATTTGCAAGGGAAATAATTGTAATCGAGGCCGGAGCTCGAACGAGCAGCTCCACGCGTCCAGACTGACAATGGCTAAGTGTGCGGCTACAACGTGGCTTCAGTCTCAATATTATTGTTTTACCTTAATATACTCCTCCTAAAAATAAATGTGCTCCAAAAATGCTGCAGGACAGAATCATGGGTGTAAACATCCACTCAAATCTAGAATTTTAACATGATAATGTAACTGCAACATCGTTTTTCTATATTTTTCTCCAGCATTTGTTAAAATCATACCTGGTGATCTAGCCATGAAAGCCCGTGTTCAGGCACTTCCTGGGTGACAACGCTCAGTCTAGGTCTTCTAACTTTTCTCCTGCGTTGTCACCCTGCTACACAGGCTTCTAATTGAGACTGTAAGTAGCTGCTTCAAAAGTATATTATTCTGGTATGGTCCACAGTTGTCCACATCAGAAAATCTACACAGAGAAATGCCAAGCAGCCATCAATGAGTGTACTTTATTGAAGAATGGTATTCTTTAAAATCGTGTACTGCTTTTTTCATCCTTTTCCACCTCAGTGCTGTTGCTCTCCATAGGCCTATTTCAGCCTCTCCTTGTCTAGATGCTCGCCCCAGGGCCGGTTGCACATCATTGCTTTGGACCATCTTCACAATGGTGAGAATTGTCCGCACAATATACAGTATAATTCAGCATGGCCTCTTGTGTTCAGCCTTCAGGGGGCGGCTGGGCGGCAACCCAGCAGCGCAAGAAGAACGATCACATCATAAAAGACCAAGCGCAATGTTTTGGAGCCGTGCAGGACCCCTTCATCAGGTATGTGATGAAGGGGTCACATGCCTGATGATAGGTCCTGCACGGCTCTGAAACATTGTACTTGGTTCTTTGTGATGTAATCATTCTTCAGTGAAAGCTTTGGATGACATTTGATGATCCGTGGTGTGTTGGTAAATATGAGCACTGATCTGTAATGTCTCCAGGGGGTAGTTGCTGCAGCACCCATTACTTTTGAGCCCATTTCGGGAACATGTGCGATTGTAAAATAGACAATATATAAAGTGACAACCCAGGGGCATGTCTGCAAAACAGTTGTCACACCATAAAGTATCTGAACAAAGACCGTGAAGGCAGAATCAGTTTTCTCACAAATACAGTATGTGTTTAAAGTGTTTAAAGTGTTACTAAACCCAGGACCCTGCATTCACTATATCCGCTCTCCCTGGACCCTGCATTCACTATATCCGCTCTCCCCGGACCCTGCATTCACTATATCCACTCTCCCCGGACCCTGCATTCACTATATCCGCTCTCCCCAGACCCTGCATTCACTATATCCACTCTCCCCGGACCCTGCATTCACTATATCCGGTCTCCCCGGACCCTGCATTCACTATATCCACTCTCCCTGGACCCTGCATTCACTATATCCGCTCTCCTCGGACCCTGCATTCACTATATCCGGTCTCCCCGGACCCTGCATTCACTATATCCGGTCTCCCCGGACCCTGCATTCACTATATCCACTCTCCCTGGACCCTGCATTCACTATATCCGCTCTCCTCGGACCCTGCATTCACTATATCCGGTCTCCCCGGACCCTGCACTCACTATATCTGGTCTCCCCGGACCCTGCATTCACTATATCTGGTCTCCCCGGACCCTGCATTCACTATATCTGGTCTCCCCGGACCCTGCATTCACTAGATCCGGTCTCCCCGGACCTTGCATTCACTATATCTGGTCTCCCCGGACCCTGCATTCACTATATCCGGTCTCCCCGGACCCTGCATTCACTAGATCCGGTCTCCCCGGACCTTGCATTCACTAGATCCGGTCTCCCCGGACCTTGCATTCACTAGATCCGGTCTCCCACTGTACAAAGAATATGGAAACAATTATTTGAGCAAATAAAAACTGCTAAATACTTTTTCTCATCAGCAGTATATAGCAGTCTTGTGACTTCTATCAGTGTCCAGCAGAGCACTGGTTAAAGCTTTTAGGAGTTTTCATTGTGTTGAGAGGTGGCATTTGTGGGGGCCACAAGGGTGTAAGAATTGTACAAGGAGGGGAAATTTGGGGTGTGTGCTAGGAGTAGTGATTTAGGGAGATTTGTGTTGGGAAGGGGGATGGGGAAAAAAGGATTTATTTGTGCTAGAAAAGGTAAGGTGTTACAGGGTGGGGGGATTGTGCTAGGGGGGGATTTTGGAGGGAGGGATTTGTGCTAGTAGGGATGATTGGAGGGAGTATTCTTGATAGGAAACCCAAACTGGGGGGGATTTGGGGGATGAGGAGGCAAAGATTTACGCTGGGAGGGGGGATTTCAGCAGGGCCTATGCATGCTGATTAAAAAAAAAATTGGGGGGATTTTTGCTGACACCAAATGCTCATACATCTTGGGGGGGGGGGGGGAGTGCAGTTTGGAATGCTCGCCCTGGGCTGTAGCTGACGTTGTCCCAGCTTTCCATAGGACTTTGAAGGTAGACCTCCCTAAACATTGTAAGGGTATCAGACTCCTGGTATTAATGGATTCTTAACCGCGCTCTAATATTACCGTGTTGATAATATATATAGAAATGCTGCTAATTAATCTATACTGCGATAATATTAACTTATCCACCACATTACCAAGGTTGATCAAAATATATCATCACAGTAGTAAATAAATTAAATAAAAAATGTGATTGAATCCAATCGTGCTGATTTTACAATATAAAAAATATATAAATTAATTCATAGAATTCACTGTGCCAATGTGAAAAAACAAAAAAAAAAAAAAAAAACTTTGGAGTATTTCTTTAAAACTAAATAAATTAATAAAATAAGATGTGAAAGTGATGCATAAAACAAAAAATAAATACAAAATAAAACAAATGAAAATTTAAAAAAAAAAATATATATATATATAAATTAATAAAGTTCAGCCGCAAAATGGTGCATAAAAAAGGATTGTGCAAAAAAGTGCAAAAAACAGTGCATAAAAAAAAGATTGTGCAAAAAAAGTGTTTCAAAAAGTTCAGCAGGTAGAAGGTGCTGGTGATATACTCTCCTTTCAAGCTGCTTATGGTGGTGTGAATGGAGACCTACGGATTGTCTTCTGAGCCTGTACAAGCCCAAGGATTTTCCCCTCTTTGAAGCTCTCCTCACTCCAATGGTTTCAATAATATACACGCATGTATTGTAATATAAACCGCTGAATGCGGTAATGATCAGCCTCACAGGAGCGCTGGCTCACTCTGTCTGTACTCGCTGTAATGATGATCCAGTGCGATCCGATCCGATATACGTGGTGACGTCACTGCCCCTCCCCAACGTGTTGCGCTACAGGGAAAAATGTAGCTTCGTCTGGGGGATGTAGTTTTTTTATTTCATTTATTTACCACTGTGATGATATATTGTGATCAACCTTGGTAATGTGGTGGATAAGTTAATATTATCGCAGTATAGATTAATTAGCAGCATTTCTATATATATTATCAACACGGTAATATTAGAGCGCGGTTAAGAATCCATTATTTCCATGTAATTTACATCTTATGAGGGTGAGAAAAATTCCGGCGATCTAATATACTGTATCTTAGTCTCCAGTGGTTCACAGGTTCATTCAAATAAGACTCCTGGTATTGTCGAGTCAATGTGTCAAAAGTTCTTGTGAGTCAGCCAATAGGAACACATTACTAGGTAACATTTTAACCCCTTGCCGATCACCTCACGTAGGAGTACAGCGGCAAGGCGGCCTCTCCGCGCTGGATCATGTATCTAATAGTAGCACAGAGACGAATAATAGCAAAAAATGGCCTGGTCAGGAAGGTTGTAAAACTTTCCAGAGGGCAAGTGGTTAATGAAAGCCGCAGAAAGACTAAAAAACAAGTTTAAAAATGACGTTAGCACGTTAAATCTTATATGGAATGGTAGTGAGTGGGGTTCGTTGTGCTTTATTATGGGAAAAAAAATAGCATATTGTGCTTCAGGAAAGCTCAGACCAATCCGTCAGCCTCTGGTAAACTCCGAACACTTCCCCGAATGACAGACCAGGCCTGAGATTTTACTCCACCGCTTGTTTAGATCACATCTGGCCTGTAAAAGCTGCGCTCTGCGGCCTCCGGAGCACTGAAAGACGTTCCTGCTGGCTCTGGGTGATCTCACCGGCCTCAGTTTACACAGTGTCAGATTACGGGGCCTAACTTGGGGAAACACTTCAGGACAAGTGCTTTAACCCTTCCCAGGCCACAGCAGCTCATCTGGCTCCAAACGCAGGAGGTCGAAGGTCAGCAAACATTTCAGTAACAGGATCACCGGCAGTCTGGAGGAATGCCATGATTGGAACTGGCTATGAATGTTGATTTATTTATACTCTCTCGGGCTGCTCCAGCTCTTGCGTGGGTGAAAATTATTACAGAGAGGGCGTTTGTTGGGGAAATGTTCTGGAATCATGGGGCTGAGAACAAAACAAAGAGACTCAAATCCTGCATGAGGCAACAGTTAACGATCTTCAAATTACAGCCGGTCTTCCGTCAAGACAAAAGTCTTCCATAGGCAGATAGATCAGGTTACCTGTACTTGGCAATCGATTTAATTGTGAGCTGAAAAAGGCCATGGACTCAAGTTTTAACCATTTGCCGCACTTTGACATTTTTAAAATGTCCTTGATTTTAGGTGGTCAAAACAAATACGGTATAATTTTTATTACCCGGCGATTGGCTGCTCATCAAATGTCATCTGGAAAGCTCTACAGCACTTTTACAAAAATGAAAAGGAACCCCCCTCCCCCTCCAAATAGAATATCGATAGGTTTATCAATATTTTCTTTTTTAACCACTTCCCACCCCGTGTAGTGTAAGAATCAGGGACGGAGTGACCATTTGGAAACTTGGGCACTGCCCGATGGCCCGGGGTCAGTAGGGGGCCCCATTAGATGCCCCTGGTTCCTTTTTCATAGGCTTTTTTGAGTTTGGGCAAGGACACAGGGGCCCCATGATCCCCTATTGCCCGGGGGCCCCATGAGCAGTCAGTCCACCCCTGGTAAGAATACAACCGGGTGGGCATTTTCCAGTTCTGGAAGAATGTCCAGGGACGTCCTCCCCCTCACACGCAGTGGTGCGATCCGGCAAGGACAGTGGATCACAGTGCTCAGCACCACGCCATTGGGATCAGCAAGGTAACACATAGCTCCCAACTGTCCCTGAATTCGAGGGACTGTCCCTGATTTGGAACAAAGTCCCTCCTTCCTCCTGGTTTGTCCCTCACTTTGATTGGATCTATATAGTTGTATATAAAATGGACTTTTTATCATTTTTATCTTTCAAAAAGTGTTTCCCACTGCTAAACCTTTTATCTAATCTCTAAAATTGCTGCATTTGTAAATTTCAAAAGCCAGTATAAAGGAACAGTAGTGGGAAAAAAAAGCAATTGTGGGTTTAACTAATCCTTTTTTGTAGAATTATCCTTTATGGGGGCGTGGCAGGGGGTGTGTCCTGTGCCTACATACTTTTGCTAATAGGTGTCCCTTACTCCGATCTCAAAAAGTTGGGAGGTATGATATCTCTTAGATTGTAAGCTCCCAGGATCAGGGCCCTCCTAACCCTCTTGTATTGAACTGTATTGTTGCTGTAAGCTCGAAAGAGCAGGGCCCTCGAACCCCTCGTGTATTGTATTGTTCCTGTCTTGTCTCATGTTCTGTCCCCCTTGCTTTTGTACAGCGCTGAGGAAACCCTTTGGCGCTATATAAATACTGTATAATAATAATATTTGTCTCCCGTTATATTGTAAAGCGCTGAGCCAACTGTTGGCGCGATATAAATCCTGTATAATAATAATAATCATGCAGTCGCTAGGAACAATCACAGAGATCACAAGATAACATGTAAACAAAACTGTCATGAATGGCTTTTTTTATTCATGGCAGCTTGCTTACTATTGTGATATCGGTGATAGGTCACAGTGGCCATTTACCATGTGATAGCTGTAACCAATCACAGCAATCGCAATAGTAAGCAAGCTGTCATGAATGAAAGCCATTCATGACAGTTAAAAAGGATTGCGGTTCCAGTGATCCCTGTCATAAGCAAATCACAAAAAAAAAAATCCAGATCAACTTCCCAAAGTAGTACAGCGTCACTATGGTGACACTGTACTACCCTGGTCATAGTTTGCGAAAAAAATTTGTAAAAAAAAAAAAGTTATAAAACTGAATAAAAATGTGTATTTTACATACTGTCACCAGTCAGTATCTCTGATCACTACCACACCAGTTACATACTGTCACCAAAGCAGACGCTGTACTACTCTGGTGACAGGATGTAAAAAAAAAAAGCAAAAATGGGAAAGAGACAAATTTTATTTCTTTACTTTCTAACAAATTGTGACAAAAAATTACAACTTTGAAAAACTTACCATGCTTCTTACTACATACATTGGACTGACCATGCTTCTTACTACATACATTGGACTGACCATGCTTCTTACTACATACATTAGACTGACCATGCTTCTTACTACATACATTGGACTGACCATGCTTCTTACTACATACATTAGACTGACCATGCTTCTTACTAAATACATTAGACTGACCATGCTTCTTACTAAATACATTAGACTGACCATGCTTCTTACTAAATACATTGGACTGACCATGCTTCTTACTACATACATTGGACTGACCATGCTTCTTACTACATACATTGGACTGACCATGCTTCTTACTAAATACATTAGACTGACCATGCTTCTTACTAAATACATTAGACTGACCATGCTTCTTACTACATACATTGGACTGACCATGCTTCTTACTACATACATTGGACTGACCATGCTTCTTACTAAATACATTGGACTGACCATGCTTCTTACTAAATACATTGGACTGACCATGCTTCTTACTACATACATTGGACTGACCATGCTTCTTACTAAATACAT